AGAAAGACTATTCCTAGGAAGCATTTGAAGAGATTAAAAAGGATCTGACTAAAAAGTTGTAAGGTAATAAGAACATGATTGAGTTACTACAATTTTTAGTCATGCTTACTATGATCAATTCATCTAATGTGGATCCAATTCACTTCATATGTTAGTAATGATGAAGGTAGATATGAGAAACTAATCCTTTGAGAATATACGGATGAAGAATACTTCTTTGATTGGAGGAAATTTTGTAAGATGTGATTTGAATGGATCAGAATTTGAGAATGTGGATATTAGTGGAGTCAATTTTAATGGAGCTTAGATGTTCAGTTGTAAATGGAAAAACATTAAAGTCCATGAATTGAATAAGTTGGATGGTCATAGTGGTTGTATTAACTCAATCTGTTTCTCTCCTGATGGAAATATATTAGCTTCTGGTAGTGATGATAACTCTATCCGTCTATGGGATGTCAAAACAGGATAATAAAAAGCAAAATTGAATTGTCCTCTAAATAGAAGTTACCCAATAACTTGATGGTAAAAGAAAAGTTGCTTTTATACATACATTTGAAATAGGGAATTGGGCTGGGATTAGCTACTTGTTTTGAGACAGAATTATTCTAAAGTTTTGGAATTATTTGAGGATAAAATAAAAATAATTTTAATTAGGAAAATCAAATTGAGCATTATACAAATTGAAGTTACTAAAACACTATATCATGTAAGTAAAACGGAATTTCTTTTTATAGACTTTAACAATATTTATAAAAATTAAATATTAAAGATGTAAAAAAAATTAATATATTTTATTTTTTGTTGAATCAGAATTTTATAACTTTCATATAAATACATATACCAATATCATTGATTTCCCATTTATTTCCATATTCAATTTGTTCAATTAATATCTTATTCAATTAATTGATTTTTTCTAAATAAATGAACAATTGTAAAGGAAACATTAACTGATAAATAAGTTCAGATCAGAATTTTTTAATTTTATATAAGAAGAATAATGTAAAGATAAATGATTTTAAACATTAGGTCATTATTAAAAAAATATCATTTCTGTTGCAATTCTGGTTAGCTTTGCAAAATGCAACATCCTTTAGATTAAAATAACTAAAGTAAATCTAGCCCTTAATAATTTACAAACTCTCCATTATGTATTTTTGTTCCTTACATTTGAAGAAGTGGCTATTGTGATATAAGTAGTATAGTTATCTAAGAATTAACTAAATTTGACTAAATACTACCACAATCCTCTTAATAATCGAAAGATCGGTTTTATAATAGCGGGGATTAATACTAATTGAGAATGTCCTTAACATCCCATAAGCTGATAGAATTATCACTACTGCCAGATGCTAATGTAGTTCCATCAGGAGAAAAGCATATTGATAGAACCCAATTATTTTGGCCATCTAGTTGGGCTTGTTATTTTCCTGTCTTAACATCCCATAAACGGATTGAGCCATCCTCACCACCAGATGCTAAAGTAGTACCATTATGAGAGAAACAGACAGATAGGATTCCGCTCGTATGACCATCCAACTAAGCCTTTTATTACCCTGTCTTAACATTCCATAAAATGATAGACTTATCACTACTCGCAGATGCTAATGTAGTACCATCAGGAGAGAAGCAAACTGAATTCACAAAATTCAAATGACCATCTAATTTGATTTTTTATTATGCTCTTTTAATATCCCATAAACGGATAGACTTATCTTTACTTCCAGATGCTAATAATAATGAATCTGGAGAGAAGCATATTGACATTACATTACTAGTATGACCATAGAGTTTGGCTAATTATTAACCTGTCTTCATATCCCAACAGCGGATAGAATTATCAAAACCTCCTGATGCTAAAATACTGCCATCAAAAGAGATCCCTACTGTACTAACTAAATTTTAGTGACTTTAAAATTTCAACTTTTATTTTCCTGTCTTTACATCCCATAAACGTATAGAGTTATCATAACTACCAGATGCTAATGTTTCACCATCAGGGGAGAAGCAGAGTGAAGAGACAGTATTACTGTGACCATCCAATTTGGCTCTTTATTATTTTGTCTTGACTTACCATAATCTGATAGACTTGTCCCAACCACAAGATGCTAATGCTGTACCATCAGGAGAGTAGCACAACGATTGGACATAATTAGTGTGACCATACAATTTTACTTTTTATGGTTTTAGTTAAAGATCCCATAAACGAATAGAGTTATCATCACTACCTGATGCTAATGTTGAACCATCAGGAGAGAAGCAAACTGAATTTACAAAATTCGAATGACCAGATAATTTGGCTTTTTTTTTTCCTGTTCGACTATCCAATAAATGGATATAGTTATCCTAAGCACCAATTGCTAATGTATTACCATCAGGAGAAAAGCATACTGATAAGACATATCTATTATGATCAAAATGGGCTCGTTATTATCCTGTTTTAATATCCCACAACAAGACATCACCCCTACCCCCTGATGCTACAGTATTTCCATCAGGAGAGAAGCATACTGATGATACCCAATCATCATGACCTTTTAATTAGGCCAATTATTATCCTGTCCGTACATCCCATATATAGGTTAACCTATCACTATTGCCACTTGCTAATTTCTTACCATCAGGAGAAAAACTTATTGAATAAGCACATCCATAATAACCATTTAATTTAAACTTTTATTATCCTGTCTTAACATTCCACAAACGGATAGAGCAATCTAAACTTCCAGATGCTAATGTAGTACCATCAGGAGAAAAGCAAACTGATAAGATTCCGCTTGAATGTCCGTGCAATTGAGCCTTTTCTTTTCTTGTCTTAACATCCCATAACTTGATAGAGTTATCCAAACTCCCAGAAGCTAATACATTACTATCAGGTGAAAATTTAACTGAACGTACTCCATTGACATGACCATCTAACTTGGCTTTTTATTTTCCTGTCTTTACATCCCATAAACGTATAGAGTTATCATAACTACCAGATGCTAATGTTGCACCATCAGAAGAGAAGCAAACTGACGAGACAAATAGGCTGTGACCATCTACTTCATTCTATTTTTATCCTGTCTTCAGATCCCATATACGGATAGAGTTATGTCCACCAGATGCTAATATATATCCATCAGGAGAAAAGCATACTGAGTAGACTGACCAAGCATGACCGACAAATTTGGCCTTTTATTCAC